CTTTGTAGGAAAAGATTTTCTAAGCCAGACATCAATTGCTCAGGAAACAAGTGCAAGAATTAACAAGTGGGACCTCATTAAACTAAAAAGCTTCTGTACATCAAAGGAGGTAACCAGGGAAGCGATCAGAAAACCCACAGAACGGGAGAAGATATTTACCAACGAAACAACCGACAGAGGTTTAATATCCAGAATATATAATGAACTCAAAAAACAGAAAATCAAGACAAGAAGAAACCCAATTAAAAGATGGGCTAAGGAGTTGAAATGGCTATGAAGCATCTTAAAAGATGTTCAACATCACTGATAGTTAGGGAAATGCAAATTAAACCCACTCTAAGATTTCAACTTCCCCCAGTCAGACTGGCTAAGATCAAGAGAACAAATAATACCAAATGCTGGAGAGGATGTAGGGAAAGGGGAACACTCATCCACTGCTGGTGGGGCTGCAAACTGGTTCAACCCCTATGGAAAGCAGTGTGGAGAACTCTTAAAAAACTACAAATGAACCTACCATTTTACCCAGTTATACCACTCCTTGGCATACACCCAAAGAACTCATCCTATTGCAGACACACTCACTGGTACATCAATGTTTGTTGCTGCTCTTTTCCCAAGAGCTAAGAGATGGAAGCACCCTAAGTGTCCCTCAGCTGACTAGTAGATAATGAAAAGGTGGGTCATTTATATGATAGAGTTCTCAGCAGTAAAGAAAGATGAAATTATGAAATTTGCTGGTGACATATGTTCTCCCTCATATTTGGATCCTAGAACCAAACCCTGATAAGTGAGTATGTATACAGGCATAACTACAGGAACCAGGATAATGGAAAGTAAACAGGGAAGAAAAGGAAAAGAAATAACCTGAAAGAGAACAGTAGGAATCAGGCCTTAGTAAGGGAGGTATGGATAAAGATTGGGTTAATTTTTGAGAGGGAGGAGGGAGGGGTATACAAGGAAACTAGGGGATAAAGGGAAAGAAGGAGCTCAAGAGAAGTAGGACCACAGAGAAGGGTATTATTAAGGGAGAAAGGGGGGGGGGAAATGGGGGCACCTTAATTGGGAAAACTGTGGTGGAGTGGTAAGATAATGCGAGAGATAATGCCTGGCTAGTTTTGAAAACCAGAGGGAACCATATTACTCTTATAACCTACTGACAAATTATACGAAGCAGATCAAGAAATATATTATCTAGGTAAGGTTTATCTGAGAACAGTTGGTCTTTGCCCAAGATTTATGTACATGACACACAGTAATTAAAAGTACCAGACTGGTGGAACTAACCTTCTTAGATGCTTAAGCGATATACTTTGAAGCCTATAATAATTTGGTCAGAGGGACATAAAGGACAGTTTTTGCTCCTTGCCCTCCTAGGTTGACTAGTTCCAGGCAACTATGAGCACCTCTCAAAATGTCCTGTAATGGTCATGGGTCACCTCTCCTCTTGATCAAGGAGGCCGAGGAGACCCCACGAGATAGACTTGAACCAGTGTCCAGTCTGCAGATAGGAGGGTCAACACAGAAGAATCACTTCCTCCATGCTTCCAAGCGAAGCCAACCATGGTTGAGCAGGACATTTGACTTAATCTTCACATAGGTGGAACTGGTGAAAGAAAGGAGCCAGGTGTTGTAGTCTCCCTGCAGGTCCAGCCTAGGTGAGACTCAGGGTCCTGTCAGGGAGGGGATGAGTGGGGTGGAATCCACACTCAGACCCTGGGGGTCGGGTTGAAGCAGGCACTAGGCTATGTACTGTAGACTCGTTTATTGTGGATATGGGACTGCCTTATATACCCCTCTCCCAATGTCCCTTTGGCCCCAGTTGGCCTTCTCGGGTCATGTCTGATCCTCATTGACTATGTCTAGCTATCTTGCTTCAGCCATCTCTATGTCCTTTGCCAGTATACAGGTTTGACTCAACCGGATGTTTTTGGCATATTTGCAGATCACTCGCACTGGTTTTTTAGGCTGTGCTTCCTCCTACATATCCACCCTTTTTGTTTTTAAATGCAGAGCTTAACACAGTGAGAGCCCGTGTTCTATAGCCCAGACATTGTTGACCTCACTTCTGGTGTCCCAACATTTGACTGTGCCTGTCTTAGGTTTTCCTGATTTGCAGGATCTTACCCATCATTGACTAACCAGCTACCAAGGGGATAAACCACGTAGTGTTAGCTAAAGGTGGTAGGGCTTAGACTATTGAATGTTGGATAGATAACAGCCAGTCATGCAGCATTTGTGGAGGAGGTCCAGGTCTTGCTCTATCATAGACGATAGCCTGGAGAACTTTAAGGACAGCTCTGTTAATTTGTTTTTCTGATCAGGTATACTTTACAAGACATCTAGTAAGGAGTATAATTAACATTCCCACCATTCCTATGAGTCCCCATGTAACTATTCCCACCCGGCTGAAGATACCCTTGAAGCATTCCAAACTTGAATCCTCTAGTCTTTAAGAGTGCCTTGAGTGCTGCAGTTTGTGGCTCCCTGCATTTTGGTGAAAGATTGCCCATCTTGGGAGAGCTTGGTGAAGGGATTCTCGCCACAGAAGTAGAAGGCAAAGGTAACCACTAAAAGGGCACAGATAGAGCAAACGAGGACAGTGAGCCACTCTGACGTGAACTGCCCCAACATGAAAAGGTGTATTGGATCCAAGTGTCTTGTGCTTAGTGAGGGACATCCGAGGGCTGTGAAACCCAGAGTTGTATGCTCACACGATGTCTCCAGGACAGGCAACGGGATTGACTGAGGCTTGGGCTCTGAGTTCAGGGTGGATCAACCCTATGTGAACTCACCAGGACGAGCCAAGGAGTGAAAGGGGCCAACGTGGGCTTCGGGACCACACGGCAGAATGTGCCTCCTGATCTAAGAACAAATATGACAAACAGGGTTGAGGGGACAGAGGAGGGGGCCACTTGCTCACCCTCGAGCAGCCGAAGGTACAGACAAAACGCTGGGCCTACTCACCGAACTTGGGGGCATCGCCATTTCCAAGGGGGCTGAGAGTCCCTGTTTAGGCACCAGATGTTGTAGTCTCCCTGTAGGTCCAGCATAGGAGAGACTCAGGGTCTCGGCCAGGAGGGGGTGTGCAGTGCAAAGTCAACACACAGACACCGGCAGTCGGGTTTCCAGGCACTAGGTGAGGTGCTGCAGACTCGTTTATTGTGGATATGGGACTGCCTTATATACCCCTCTCCCAATGTCCCATTGGCCCCAGTAGGCCTTCTCTGGTCATGTCTGTGTCAGCCGTCTCTATGTCCTTTGGCAGAATACAGGTTTGACTCAACCAGATGGTTTTTGGAGCATTTGCAGTGAGCCTGCACTGGTTGTTCAGGCTGTATTTCCTCCTACAGCCAGGGACTCCTCCCAAGCCCATGTGCCCCCTGAGGAACAGACCCTCAAATGACCTTAAAAGTAAAAATAAATTGGTTTATCTGGGCCAACTCTATGGCCTTAAACATTCAAAAGGAACATATAACCAAAGATTAAAGGGGTCCATATAATTTCTTAAGAGTCCATATGCACAGCTCAAGGCTACATAACAAGCAACAATGCCAAATAGGAGATACCTTCTTTTGCGTTGTTGGCCAGGGTGATCAAAGGGACTCCCAAATAGTAACTCAGCATAGAACTGGGAAAATGAACAGCAGACCTTAATCTTATCTAAAGGAGTATTGACAACTGATTGCTGCTAGAAGAGGAACGGCTGACCTTCTTAAAACAAAGACTTTGAGATAGGCTGACTAGATTCACCAGAAGGGCAAGTAGTGGGGATTGGCTGGGGTGCCAACAACACAGCAGACAGAAGCAGGGATATCAGAGTATAAGGGCTCTAGTGGGTGGAGGGAGGCTATGGGAGGGTGCCATCTGGGAAATGGGTGTATAGTTGAATAAGATGGTTTGGGATGTTCTCTGTGATATACACACACACAGAAAAATCAACAAATTTTAAAAAATATATTTGAGGAGGAAATGTGGAAATTTGCATCATGCTAATTCAGGTGATAAACATTACCATTGAAATCTACCTCATGACTTCATAGACATACACAGGCACCAAGGATCCGAGTGCAACTGATTATGACTAGTAATAATCAGATGCATACAAATTAGAGATGCACACACCAACATCTCAGTGTTAGTAGCAAAAACAATGAGTCTTTCTGCAAGGAACAGTATATTCTAAAATGAAATGGAAATATTTTTTAAAGTTAAAAAAACTCATTCAATTTTATGTCTTACAGGGCTTATACTGAGTTCAGTATTGTATAACCGTATTAACTCAACTGTGAACCTAGAAACGTGCACCCACTTGTGAAAGAGATGTAGTCTTGCTCTGGAGTATGTTGCTGAATATGTTAAATATGTAATGAAATGCTAATCATGTTCTTATTAAAATTTTTAAAAATAATGATAAAAAATAATTAGAAGATACGACAAACATTACCATTGAAATCTACCTGATGACTTTATATCCATGCTCAGATTCCAAGGAGCTCAGAAAGTAACCGACTGTCACTAGTAATAATCAGATATATAGAGATTAGAAATGCTTTTGCAAACATTTTAATGTCAACTGCATTGAAAATGAATTTTTATTTATGAAGTGTGTGTTTTAATAATGAAATGGAGATCTTTTTTAAAGGTTAAACTCTCATTTAATTATGTCTTACAGGTCTTATACTGAGTTCAATGTTGTATAACTGTATTAACTCAACTATGAACTTAGAAACTTGTACCCACTTGTGAAAGAGATATACTCTTGCTCTGGAGTGTGTTACTGAATATGTTAAAGCTGTAGTGAAATGCTTCTTCTAAATGCTTCTTGTAAAAAAATAGTTTTATTTTAAAAAAAGAATAAAAAATGTGAACTGATGGCAAAAGTACCATTTCCCCTTTGTTTTTGTTTCCAGAATTGTGATTAAAACTAATGATTGAAAAGAAAGAATTAGTTGTGTTCTTTACTCATGCTAAAGGTAATTTTCTTTTTCTGTGTTGTTTAGGTTATTGTAGATATGACATTTGGCTCAGGAGGACATTCAAAAGCCATTCTACAGAAGGAACCAGATATTACCCTGTATGCCTTAGACAGAGACCCAACAGCTTATACAATAGCCAAACAGCTTGCACAGTTGTATCCGTAAGTAATGCTCTTGTTTATTCATTTAATTTTGGTGCTGAGTTTTACAAGGTTTTGTCTACCACCCTGGAACTTATTTTATTCTGTATGGTGTATTGTTTTACTCCACTGACTATTTTACTGCTTGCCTCCACCAAAGAAAGAAATAATGTAAATAATGTTCTAGTGCCACATAAGAAATTGCATTACTGCATATACTCTAAATCTGTGGGAATAATCGCAATAATATACATGAACAGTATTTTGACAAGTAACTTTAGTCAAAAAGATTCTTAGTTGGTATAGTGGCATTTGCCTATAGTACATGCTACTTACCAGGCTGAGGCAAGAGCATCTCAATCTTGAAATACTAGTCTGAGGAACATATCAAAATACTCTCTCAAATGACAACATGATACAATTAAAAAAAATTTACAAGTTACTGTCCAAGAATTTAGCAGAATAACATATGTGAGATATTTTTTGAACACCTAAGATTGTGTACATCAAAATAGTGCATTTGCTTTCTCTGAATTACTTCTGAAATTCACATATAGACTTAAGATTGATTTATACTTTTGCTAGCAGTTGTGGACTATCATTGTGGCCACTTTAAAATACATAAAATAGGGTCAGTGAGATGATTCGGCAGATAAGGGTATCTGACTACATAAATTCAATTCTTACTGCATAGAAGAAGGAGAGAACCAATTTTTACAACATGTTCTTTCACCTCCACATACATGCCATGGCATACCCATATGTGTGCACACTCAAAATTAAATAACAAATAAATAAATAAAAATTTAAATACATAAAACATTGACTTAATGGGAAATCTTCCTTTAAAGAAAAAGTTTGACTTGGACAGTAAAATCTATATTGTATGTTGTTTGAAAGCCATTACTATAAAAGAGAAAGTATCTGGGAACTAAGGTGACTGCCTAAAGTCTGTTTTCAAGAATGGAGAAGTTTTATATTCTCTCATTCTCCAGGATCTGTAATAAAGAAACTAGATGGGAAATTCAGGGATAATTTGAGTTTATGTGAAGTAGGTTTTTTTTTTTTTTTTAAATTTTTAATTGAATTTTTGTGTATTTCAGACATAAAATCATCTTTATACCTCCTTCCCCTTTGGCACCCTCCCATAGCCACCCCTCCCCCCACTGGACATTCTGTCCTTTGTATTACCTGTTACCATCCACTGTGTTATCAGTGCCCCCAGCTATTCCCCAGTGCTAGTCCATCCCCTTAGTCTAGTCAGTCTATCTAGAGTTCCTTGTTTTAGGAAGATCAGCTCTACCTCATCTAGCAGCAATCAGTCACCAACATTCCTTTAGATAAGATTGGGGTCTGCT